TCGCATTATACGCTTTCATCAACTTACAGGTTATAACATTTATTGTAGCTATATGGGCGCTTAGTTTTTCTTGTCGTTTAATACACTTGGCCAAAATCTCATGATATAAACGATTAAGCACTTATGCACAGGATAAAACGTACAAAAGTATATTGGCTAGACGGCAAATAACCTACTTCTCCGCTCTTCAAACATTAACATTTACAGACATGGGGCCCTATCATACACCCGGCGAAAAAAAAAAAGAAGAAAGTTTTCAATTTGCTAGTTTCAGCCCGACGCAGTTGTAATTTTCACGTCCTGCGTCACGTTGTTTAAATAGCACATGCATTTGCACCCATTTGTGCGCCCATGGGCGTGCTGGTCTGAAATGAGGTGTGTTCAGGGGCATTGCCGTTGTTATTTTGAGGCAACTGAAATAGACCGCGCCACTGACCAACAAAAACCTGGTCTAAAGTCAATGGCGCAGTAGTTTTTTGTTATTTAAAGAGCGCTTTAGTATAGGCGGGTCCACAGCACGCGTACACTCTGTTATTACACACACAGGGCCACACAGCAGCACACAAACATGCCAAATATTAAAAATTAAAGGATTGCAATGTAAAAGATTAATATTGTGTAGGCTACATAAATATAAAACTGCCTACAACATATTCTGTTACACCAAATACACAAAATAATGATCTTTAAAAAAGCATCATATGACCCCTTTAAGATTTCCCCCAGTTACTGCTGAAAAAAAACATGGTGAAATGGTCATGCTGACATTTACTTGAACTTACCAACTTTCTCATTGGCTCTAACTGCTCCTTGCTAGTCCAATCAGAGAAGTACCGGTATAACAAATATGATGTCCACTGTCTTGGACTCCAAGCACTGCTCAGTGTTCACAAGTGTCTGAGGACATCTGCCATTTCTTCAGCGATGACACTTCTCTTGATTACTACAAAACAGAAATATTAAAAGAAATTTGTGGCGTCCTGCGTCACGTTGTTTAAATAGCACATGCATTTGCACCCATTTGTGCGCCCATGGGCGTGCTGGTCTGAAATGAGGTGTGTTCAGGGGCATTGCCGTTGTTATTTTGAGGCAACTGAAATAGACCGCGCCACTGACCAACAAAAACCTGGTCTAAAGTCAATGGCGCAGTAGTTTTTTGTTATTTAAAGAGCGCTTTAGTATAGGCGGGTCCACAGCACGCGTACACTCTGTTATTACACACACAGGGCCACACAGCAGCACACAAACATGCCAAATATTAAAAATTAAAGGATTGCAATGTAAAAGATTAATATTGTGTAGGCTACATAAATATAAAAATGCCTACATGTCATAATGGAAAGTCATTGCATGTATCAGAATTAGGCTACCTGTTTGCTCGCGCACGAGCAGCTCCGTTTACTCTTTGGAGACCTCTCTTTGCCCAAAACACACCCATTACTCATTAAGAGAATAGGGAAAAACCCTTTTAGACCATGCACCGGGTGCGCCGACTGTTTTCCCATCATTAAATTAGCAAAAGTGGATTCGGACATGCCCTAAGTGCACCTGCGCCTTGCGCTTTAGACCATGTGCTTAGATCGTTAAAATAGGGCCCTTTATGTTTAAGCATATAATGATATTCTAGGGAATTGCCTGCTTCTAATTTTATAGCAACAGTTTTGACAGGACCCTTTTCTATTCTAACATGACAATGCCTATGTGTATAAGGCAAGGTTCAAAAAGAAATGATTGATTTAAATGTAAATTAGCATGACAAACAACAACTTCCTTCAACAAATGGTTGCAGAATTATGAGGATTGTTATAGCACCACCTAGTGCTAAAATTTGAGAATATTTTGTGCGGCTTGTCATTACCCTGTTCTAATTCCCCCGTTTGATTACGCACAGCCAAGTAGGCCTACCCATTAGTAGAAAAGTGAAAGCACTTGTTTGTTGGGTTTCCGCTGCCGAATCGATTCGCTTGAGGTGGCTACAGCGATCTATCACGCCACATTAAAGAGCGCCGAAACAGTATTTATTGCTTGAATTTCCTAATAAAATTGACAGAAGTTGAAATCTGAGACTTCATTTCATATCAAAAGTAACAACGCACAAAGCTTGCGATTTATTGGATGGGAGGCGAACTATATGTAGGCCTACTGTTCATTCATCAGCTGAAAACAGCATCAATTGGGATTTAAGAATCGATATTGATTCATAAAAATGAGAATCTATTAAAATCGAGAAATCGATTTTTTGTTACCCAGCCGTAGCATATTTTGTTGTTTTTAGTTCTGTCATGACAACTCTCGGAAGATTTTAGCATGGTAATGGATATGACCTTGGCTGCGTCCGAAACCACCTACTCAATGAGTAGGTACTTAACAAGCGCTAAAAGAGTAGGTACTCTACAGCCAAATCTCGTTAAGTATGAATGCGATCCGCCATGTTGACATTATCATGTGATCTATGACGTTATAACAAGCAACAGCTTAAAAGATACGAGCGACAGGTTTAATACCTCTATCTGTAAATATTTTGATGATGATGAAATTTGCTCATCTTGTTAAAGAAACAGCTGCCCTTTTATTGTGATTGTAGCATAACCAATACATTTTGTGTTGATTTAAGTTTTTATATTTTTAACTACTAAAATGACCCACAGTTTAATCCTTAAAGATATTATTTTTTATTACGAAAACCCAAAAAATCCCTGCCGGTACGAGACTCGAACCCGCAACCTTTGGGTTACGAGTCCGACTCTCTAACCATTAGGCCACTACTTTCCTGTGCATCTTTACACGCTGAGTGAAGAAGTATCTAAAGTGATAAACTGTGATGCTGTTTGTGTTGTAGTCAGTTACATGTGTTTTGGCAGCATCTGTACATGTACTTACATTTTGCTTACATTTACATTTTGATTACATGCTTACATTTGTGACCCTGGAGCACAAAACCAGTCATAAGTAGCACGGGGACCGCGCCACTGACCAACAAAAACCTGGTCTAAAGTCAATGGCGCAGTAGTTTTTTGTTATTTAAAGAGCGCTTTAGTATAGGCGGGTCCACAGCACGCGTACACTCTGTTATTACACACACAGGGCCACACAGCAGCACACAAACATGCCAAATATTAAAAATTAAAGGATTGCAATGTAAAAGATTAATATTGTGTAGGCTACATAAATATAAAACTGCCTACATGTCAAAATGGATAGTCATCGCATGTATCAGAATTAGGCTACCTATTTGCTCGCGCACGAGCAGTTACATTTCCTCTCTGAGACGCGTTCTGTCTTTGCGCTTGCAAATTCCACCTTGTAAATAGCAAATCCGCCATGGCACAAGCGCAACTGGCTCTTAAAGGGAATGGGAGATGAGACTCTGATTGGTTTATTGCACGTTTGCCCAAAACACACCCATTACTCATTAAGAGAATAGGGACAACCCTTTTAGACCCGTCCTTAAACTAGCAAAAGTGGATTTGGACACGCCCTAAGTGCACCGGCGCCTTGTGCTTTAGACCATGCGCTTAGATCATAAAATGGGGCCCATAGTGTTTGAGAAAAGAAAACGCTGTACTATTCAAACATCAGTTATTTATTTACCTACCAATCATACATCAATGGAAAGCTTATTAATTCACCTTTCAGATGACGTATAAATCTCAATTTCGAAAAATTTACCCTTATGACTGGTTTTGTGGTCCAGGGTCACATTAGCAGCTGTAAAAGAGTTATTGCAGTTGATCTCAGACATACTGATGCATATTAATATGATTTCAGTACATTTCTCGTCTTAAAATCACTGAAACTAGCTTATTATTAGCATATGTATTTAGTTGAAAACAACGATTTCTCTAATACATACAAATCATCTTCTCTCACGTCATTTAAGTAATATGGAAGAAAAACAACTTTTGCTTATTGCAATTGCATACAAATAAGAATGTGGAAACTAAAAATTTAAACAAACCTTTCTCATTGTATACGCTGGACCATCATCATCCTCCTCTTCCTCATCTGTTTGTTTGCGGATCGTAGTGTTTCTCATCAAAGTTTTCTGCAGCGTAAACACTCTAGACCCTCATAACAATATTTAGATCAAAGATGAAAAAGATCTCATTTATTTATTAACTTACGTTTTCAGGCAAAACGGACACGTTAGCTGCAGTCTCACACGTAAAGTTAACTTTTTGCACGTTCCTTTATGAGCTTATGAGCGTCTGCGCTAGAAAAATAATAAAAATTTAAACGCTCAACGATGCCAGTATTGCTTTATCGAAATGACCCCATACATCCACATTTCTTGCAAATTCCACCTTGTAAATAGCAAATCCGCCATGGCACAAGCGCAACTGGCTCTTAAAGGGAATGGGAGATGAGACTCTGATTGGTTTATTGCACGTTTGCCCAAAACACACCCATTACTCATTAAGAGAATAGGGACAACCCTTTTAGACCCGTCCTTAAACTAGCAAAAGTGGATTTGGACACGCCCTAAGTGCACCGGCGCCTTGTGCTTTAGACCATGCGCTTAGATCATAAAATGGGGCCCATAGTGTTTGAGAAAAGAAAACGCTGTACTATTCAAACATCAGTTATTTATTTACCCTTGCATTGCGAAAAGGCGGAGATCTGTCTCCTCCAGGCTGTGAGCGGCGCGTCAGTCTGAATGGAAACGGGGTGAAGTTAGAGGTTTCGCAGAGAGCTTGAGGATCCAATGGCATTATACGAAGTTTTACTGACAAGCTCTTTTAATACTTATCATTGGTTAAATATTTGTAAAACCCCCTGATTTATAATAACGAATTATAATACGAGATATTAAGTTTTTTAAATTTTTCACGGCACACCTGACTGGGCTAGGGTATGGCAACTGCCATACTGTGCCATACAGAAACACCGCCCCTGCTCACGAGCACAGGTACGAGACTCCGCCCACACTGCGGTGAATGCGAGCGCAATGAAGCGCGTTTAAAATACATACAAGCAAGCGTATAAAAGAATGACCTGCTGCATTACATAAATATAGATTTGCTATTGTTATGAGTATTAGAGAATATTCTGTCCTATAAAGTACTTTTAATATTGTTTTATTATTTAAGTTTTACCGCAGATATTTTGTTTTTGACAAATTCACGGCATTAAACATGTAGTTAACATTGTAATATGTCAGGGTATTAAGTCAGTTTAAAACAGTTTTATGATAATTATTGCTATATTATTGTAACCGTCTATGACTGAACCGAGCCGAGTCATTGCCTGAAGTGGCCTGGACTCTACCAGCCAGTTACGGTGAACTGGAATCGGGCCAGTGCTTTAGAGCCGCATCACAAGATGAGCGAGCTGCGGGCCACACTCGGATAACACTCGCCGATGCCGAGTCTGAGCCGAAGGCGCCGAGGGGCAGCCGAGCTCGGGCCGATTACTACATGCTATGTGGGTATGCTCATAGTTTCTTGTGCGGGTTATTTATGATGAAGTGATATAGAGGTGCGCCACATATTTGCGCACTGTTGAAGAGTGTGCGCCGTGAGCACAGTAAAACGGCTGATGGGACGGGAAAGTGTGTTTTACTGACATATAGTCTAACAACATCTCATCAGACCACAGTTCACAGTTGTTCTACTGAAGCTCATTTGGCTGCTGTAGCTTTAATTTCCGCGCTCGTTTGACTCGCGCCTGGCGCTGAGGTGAAGCTGAAGTGCGCGTCTGAAAATTCTCCCGTTTGTGGTCATAAAGAGATACGGCGGTTCCGCATCTTAATAAATTAATTTCTTGTCAAGAAATAAAGGGACAAAAACTTTATGAGAGTATGACAACCAGAAAATGAACGTTTTCGTCTTCATTGTGATTGGGGTTGAATCAAGCAGCAACCTCCCCCTCTCTCTCGTGAAACTAACAAGGAAGTGACAAACTGTAATTCATCAACTGGCCGCTAGAGGCTGGCTGCAAAAGGGAGTCAATCCCATAGACTCCCCATGTTAAAATGCCCAACTTTACAGCAGAAAAAAAACGTTTACAGCCTGGTTCAAAATATGATTTTGGTCTATATAGCTAATTTTGCCCTTGATGACAACTGTGAGGGGGGTGATTTTTTTTATAACTCATCCCTTTAAATTATATTAAGCCTTAAAGTTCTGCATAATTAAGGGCGTGGTCACTTGAGTGACAGGTGGATTGCGCTGCTGTCACCACCGTCGAGCTTGGTGGGCGTGGCTTCAGCAACCTGCTCCCGCCGCTTTGCCCATTTTCGATTATCCGGGAGTGACACGCGGTGACGCGCTACCAAGATGGCGATGGCCGCCTCCGCCCAATTTTGAGTTTCAAAAACGCTCTTCGGAAATCTACGTGTGACGTCACGGACACTACGTCCATGTTTTTATACAGTCTATGGGTTGAATGCTTAGGGACGGGGGGATTTTCAAGATGGCGCAGCATTTCCATGAGCTCTGCAATCCTAAGCACTTAAACTGACCTTTGTAACTTGTTGCAAAGAAAATTTTGAAAGTTAACTCAATTTGACATTACAGTGATTCCCCAAAGACCACAATGGGTGGCTCCGAAAAAAGGAAAAGTACTGGAAAGAAGGCTGGAAAGTCCGAATGGACTGCTCATGCTAACTTGGCTAGTAAAAATAGCAGCAGTTCGCAGGCGGCCGAAACTTCTGTTAAAGTCTCTTCTAGCGACTTGATTGCAGACAACTTACACGACTATCTCAAACAGGATAATGATCCAGAAGAATTTATGCTGGCGGAGGTGGAATTTCCATGTCTCCCTGAAACTCCCTGTAAATCGCCAGCCCCCAAACAACGCAGAATTGTGGATAAAGATACAATGGTCATCCTCTCGCAGATCTCGGACCTTTCTCGGCTAGTGCAGAATAGATCGGACACGCTAGAGAAGTTGGTGGAAAAAAATTCACAGGTAATAAATGAAATGAAAACAGAAGTCAGTGTCAACACAAAACAAATCACCGAGTTAAAGGAAACGATTGAGTTTATCTGCGCCGACGTCAATGTCTTGAAAACTCGACTGAAGCAAGCTGAAAAGTGTGCCGAGGAGCATGAAAGACGTCTAACGTTGCTGGAGGGCTATTCCCGCAGATGGAATTTAAGAATTCAGGGGCTTCAAGAGAAAAATGGAGAAGATGTTCGTCACGAGGTCATCAAAATATGCCAGTGTCTATTGCCGCAACATAAAGATAAACTGCCTGACGTCGTGGATGTTGCACACCGTCTTGGTCGTAACAAACCTGGAAGCAGCACTCCTAGAGGAATTATATTTCAGTTCACTTCACGTTTCTTCAGGGATGCTGTCTGGCATGCTGCCAAAGATGCAGACTTTCTGAAGAACAACCACCTGAGGATTACTGAGGACTTGTCTCCTGCCGACAGAGAAAGGAGGTTGAAATTATGGCCTGCTGTCGAAAAAGCACGTAAGGAAAATAAGAAAGCTTTCTTCGTCAGTGCCCGTGCCTTTGTAGATGGCGTTGAGATTTCTCCACCCACTTAAACTGCGAGGGATGCCCTACCATAATTAAGGTGACTGGAACTGGAAGAAAATAAATGTTTACAGCCTCTTTCAGTGCAAAGGTACTCTCTTTCTTACTTTGTTTAAAGACTTGAATGAGACTGAGACTCCAGTTAAAATGTTTTGATTTATACATTTATAAAGGAGGCAATAATAAAAAAATAAATAAAATTCTTCTTCTTTGCATTAAAAAGGGAGGTATTCTTCTCCTTATTCTGCTTAAAGACTTGAATGTGACTGAAACTCCAGTCCAAATGTTTTGATTTGTAAATTTATAAAAGAGGCAATAATACAATTTTGTTTTTCTTTGCATTAAAAAGGGATTGCAGTTCTCATCCCGGTATACACTTGTTGCAATCGTTTAAGATTTGCTATAATTTTTTATAGGAATCTTCTGGGTTAAGCTCTGTGTTTTCTATAGGTTTTTGTTTTATGTCTTTATCTATTGTTTCTCTTAATTGTAGAGGGTTACGTAACATTGTTAAGAGGAAAGCCATTTTTTTGTACTTGAAGCGCTTTAATACAGATTTTTGTTTCCTACAAGAGTGCCATTCTGATATTCAAGATGTACATTTTTGGAGGTCGCAATGGGGACTAGATTTATGGTTATCTCACGGCACTACTCATTCTGCTGGGGTTTGTATCTTGAAAAATCGATTTAAAGGGAAAATATTAAGTTCTGAGTGTGATACGTCTGGACATTACATTTTACTTGCCCTTGAAATTTTAAATTCAACCTGTATTATTATTAATGTTTATGGTTTCAACTTACAAAGAGAAAATAATGCCTTTTTTGACAGATTAGGTGATCGGGTGACTCGTATGTTAGCCACATATCCTAACTCTTCTCTGATCTTTGGAGGTGATTTCAATGTCGTTCTGGACAACAGGTTAGATCGATGGCCTCCTCAGGCGGGAAATCTAAGTCCTGATTATGTAATTACGTTTATGGAGAAATTTTCTTTAATTGACACATGGAGAAAATCTCACCCAATACAAGAATGCTTTACTTGGAGTAATAATTCTTTATCTAGTCAGTCCAGGATTGATTATTGGCTTACATCTAAGGATTTAGATAATATTGTTACTGATATAATACCATCCCCATTCTCGGATCATAAGGCTATTTCAATAAGTATTCCCTTTAGATCTTCTGTGAATTTAACTCAAAAGTCTGGATATTGGAAATTAAATAATTCAGTACTTCAACATAACGAAGTAATTACTGGCATAGAAAAAATAATTTTGACATTGGAATAAAGCAAAAATTGAAAAAAAATATTGTAGCAATTGGGAACTTCTCAAATTTGAAGTAGGAATTTTTTTTAGGAAGTACTGTAGCGAGTTTGCAAAAAAGAGGAAAGCTGAAGAGGATATAATTTTAGTTAAAATATCTACTTTATTATCTAAAAGAGTAGAAGAATTATCAGAATTCGATCAAGTAGAACTCACTGAACAGAAACTTAAACTCGAGGAAATTTACAAACAAAAGTCTGAAGGAGCTTTTATTAGGTCTCGAAGGAAATGGCTTGAAGAGGGCGAAAAAAGCTCTGCTTATTTTTTTAGACTTGAGAGGCAACAAGCTAAAAATAATCATATTGAAAAATTGAGGATTAAAGGTAATATTGTGGAGGACCCTAAAATTATTGAAAATTTTTGTTCTGAGTTTTATAGTAATTTGTATGCTTCTAATTTCTGTCAACAGTCTACATCTGAGTTTTTTGAGTCCTTACATAACATGAAGCAGATTAGTAATGA